TTACAGAGGCGCAAACGATGCCTTGCAAAAATTGCAAGCTCTGACGATAACAGAATCAGGTCCACATTGAGTTGCCGGCGGATGGAGAGCGCCACGGAACATGCCGGAACACCTTGTCCCTGTTGTGGTTTTGTTGAATAAGAATTAGATTATTTCACGCAAATTGTCTTAAGATAATGAGGCCGGTATAGTTGACCAGTGAACTTCCTCTTCTTAGCACACACGTTGATATTCTATAATGAGAAACTTCTTAGTTACTAGTTGTTTCAGGTGTTGTACTTCTTCTCGATGTGTTACTTCATTCTCCAAGAAGAAATTCGTAACAAAGCCTTTGAAGCGTCACGAAAAGCTCGGTTGTCTATTTCAAAATATTCGCACACTATTCTTCATGCGTCAAGGTAAGTGTAAAAGTCGTAAAGGAATGTGAATGAATTTTTTCACTATTATCGGTGTTCCAGAGGTGCGTGGTCTCGTCGGAATTCTCCACTCTTGGACGCTTCGCCAGATAATGCATTTGATCGTCTCCGTAAACGTCGTCAATCTGCTCCAGCATTCACTTTAACCGTCCCGTCGGAGACCATGCGAGAGGTCTAGAATTAGGCTGTACGCAATTCCCCTCAATGTGTTGCCTGATGAATGCGCGCTATTCATCGTTTTTCTAGGCAACGGTACGGTTAGGCCTCGTTTATACATGAAGACCTTTACGAGCTGACGAAACTGCGTACAGCAGAAAGTATAGGCATCGATTTGAAGAAATGAGAGTCTGCGGAAATAAAAGAAATGCATAGGATGCAGAAATGCAAGAATTCCGCAGAATCGCCATTTCTCCCGGAGGCGAAGAGAAACGATAAATTCTATAATTGTCGCAGTCGATTTCGCAGGCTCTGCATTTCAGGCAATTGCGCAGACTCGTCTTCTCTTCAATCGATACGTATATTCTCTTCTATCCGCAGTTCCGTCATTTCCTCAAGTCGAATCGATTGGGTTCTAACGCGAGCGATTACGCTTGCAACACCTCTTTCGCCGCGCTTGAAGTGACTGGAAACTAACTATATACACCCGCAGTAACAAGCGAGGATACATTCCAACTTTGCGAATACCAGAAATCGTATAAGTAGTAAAAACGAAAAGTACCTCGGGGACAGTGTTCCATACAGATCTCGCGAGGGAATGGTTTCAAATTCTCATAGAACTTCGAGTTGAGGCTCAAGTACATCGATGAAGTCTCGAACTCTGATTGCGGATATGACGATTAAAGTGCTACGGAGATGACCCAAACGACTTCTGGGTGGTGAGGTTTGTTGCAAATGCAGTGTTAGCTAGTGTGCGCTTTTGAGCGGTATAACGCCACTGCCACCGTAGACTAGTGGTGGCAAATCGGCAAAGCGTACAGGGCTGGGATGATTTGCACAAAAAATACTGTGCACCTTAGCGAGCGCTGTGTGGTGCCTTTTCCAACAAATTGCGATATTATAGCAGCTAACCAAGATGCAAGATGCCGACTCCGACGCCCATTATAACCACCCGCCCACAAATATTAGGTTGTCCGGAAAGTTCTTAGCGTTTTGGGTGTTTAACTTTAAACGATCATAACTTTCTTAACACTCATCGGATTTAATCCAAATAAGCACCATTCGAATCAGCACACTTTTGCCAATGTGGCAGCAGTCGAGAAATCCCATCAAAGAAAAAACTGGGTGGTCGAGAATCCACGAAATCTGCGAAGGTCTTTTTTGCCTGGTCCTGTTTGATGAAGTATTTCTCAGCAGGAAAGTTCTGAAAATGTCTGAAAAGGTGACAGTCGGTTGGTGAAAGGTCTAGAGAATATGGTGGGTGAGGTAGAACTTCAACTCCCAATTCGTTCAATTTATGGATAGTGATTTGTGAAACGTGTGGGCGGGCGTTGTCATGCAAAAGAATCGGACCCTTTCTTTTGATAAGTGTTGGCTGCAGCTGACAATATTTTCGGTACATTTGGTCGGTTTGTTCACAGTAGGGTTCTGCTGTGATGGTTTGGCCTGGTGATGAAAAGTTATAGTGGATTACAACAGCCGATGACCACCAAACCTGACCAGAATTTTTTTTCGCGAGGGTTCGGCTTTGAAAATTACCTCGGTGGTTCCTCCAAATCCAACCACTGTCCGGAACGTCTCCTGTTATCATACATGATCCATTTTTCATCACAGGTGACAAATCCGTTCAAAAACGGGTCAATTCTTTTGCGCAAAAGCAGTGAAGAAGGAACCTCGAGACGTGCCGATTCCTGCCGGTCACTCCGATTGTGGGGCACCCAATTGTCGAGTTTTTTCACCTTCCCAATGCGTTCCAGACCATCTGCAACAGTGGATTTGCCAAGGCCTAGCTCTTCTGCTATCTCTCGAACTGTTTGGGATGGGTCAGCCTCCAAAATCCCCTAAAATCCTCGTCAGATATTGCTTTAGGTCGACCGCTATGAGGTTCATCTTCAAGGCTGAAATCTCCAGAACGAAATTTGTTGAGCCATTGCCGCACAGTGCTTTCTCTAGCACTATTGGGCCCCACACCTGGTTAATTTGTTGAGCTGTTTCGATTGCGGATTGCCCCAATTTATAGTCGAAGAAAAAAATCGTCCGAAGTGCTCTTTTCACATGCTTGAAAAAATCTTGAAAAAAGAGGGTTTATCAAGCAATGGTGAAACGGCAATTATACCATCAGATAGCGCAAGAAATTCTCTACAGGATGTGCTACTGAGAAGCAAGGCAGAATGAGTTTTTAATCAGCAGTGAATGTACAAAGATTAGGTGCACAAAACGCTAAGAACTTTCCGGACAACCTAATAGCTGCGTAGCTGCATCGACGCTACTACTCTTATCGCTTCTTCGTGAAGTACAATTGGTATGAAGCGTTGCTACACGGGTATATGAATGCATACGTACAGCCGTATCTAGCCAAGCGCTTGCTGGCAGGATGCCAAGTGGGTAACTAGTTCGAAAATGCATGTCCGATGCCGTACAGAACAACTTTTTTATGGTATTAGTCACAATATCCTCCCTGCGACACTTGCTACCTAGTCAACAGTTAGAAATTTGAGTCAGAGTCTCAGGTTGGCCAGAAAGTTGCTCCCGGGGTAAGTTGTCCACTGAACACAAAAACCCTTTCGAAAACGGGTGCGATATGTGTATTCAGGAGGTCAAATTACAATCGGGTACAAGTTTTTGGTCAAGCTGAGGTTTTGATCCAGACTTTGAATTGTAGGATAGCTGGTGAGTGTCGTAAGTGCTTGAATGGTGAACAATTCTATATTTGTTCTACCTCAGATACTCAGACTACTCACACCCTGGGTCTTCAGTGTCGAGGAATTGCGCTTACATGCCAGCGCTGTTTTTACAGCATACTCTGACCACCAGAACTTGTTTGGAAGATTCCCATAGCACATCTTATCTACTTGTTGGCGATCAGCATTCGAGGCTCTATCAGTGTACCTAGGTATCCGTTCAAGTTCTGCAGGACGTTGAATTCATTTCCTTGTTAGTATCAATTAATTATGCCAGTTACACTTTATTACTTTTGAACGTTGATGCATAGTTTATGCTCGCTCCCTTGTAGAGTACGAGCGAAAACAGCAGATTAAATGCATGTATTGATGTGGTTACGAGTTTATCTATAGTCACTCTGACGTGTATTGATCGAATGGACTTCAAAGCATCAGTTAATGCTGCTCAGTACGAGTCTCGATCCGTGAACTGCCTTATCAGCTTTCACCGTAAATACGATGTTGACATTCGCTCAGAGTTCCTTGACGTCGTAGGTACCATTTCTTACTGACATATGTACAGATGATATCGTCGCAGTTAGGCGGGGCGGTTTTAAGAGAGTTGGAATGAACCCACCCGCTACAGGTCGTTTGATTGCTGAGCGATCACCACTAGTAGAGCGAATCAGCCGGAGGCGAGCTGGTTCCGCACCTCCTGACACTCCCCACCCCTCTGATTGTGACGTTATCATCAAGATCTCGTATTATTCTCTCTCTCCTTCGGATATTCTTCAGACAAGAGCCACGAAATCATCTACATATATTATTTATTCGGTACCAGAACTCTGTCCGGTGATACTTGGCTACGCGTTATATTGTAAATAAATATGTATAGAAAAATTTCGATATAGTTAGCCATCATCGGCACTGTGATTTGTCGTGGACAGGGTAGTCATTTCTGAGTGTAACGAGCGACGGATGGTCGTGAGCAGGGTCAGTGAGCACCAAAACCCGCGAAAAAGTCATCGCTAAGTTTTTCGGAGCGGGAGCGGTGCGCTAGATAGGACGCAGATGTGTGGAAGACTACAAAAAAGCAGTTAGATTCAGATTTGGATTTATTGCATGTGTGTCAACACATGAGAAATGAGCAACGGGTCCCTAGTATAAATCTACGTGCTAGTAACATAGGCCTTGAAATGGCCACCACAACACTTGAGATACAACAACAGAGAGAACAATACAACATAGGG